TAGTAAGAAATATGGTCTAGGCCACGCATGGTGGCGCACGCCTGTAATTCCAGCACTTTGAGGCGGATCGCTTGAGTCCAGGAGTTCGAGACCAGCCTGGACAACATGGCGAAACCCCATCTCTACAGAAAATACAAAAATAAGTTATGCGTGGTGGTGTGCACTTGTAGTCCCCACTACTCAGGAGACTGAGGCAGGGAGAATTGCTTGAACGGTGGAGGTCGAGGCTGCAGTGAGCTGTGAGTGGGCCACTGCACTCCAACCTGGGCGACAGAGTGAGACCCTATGTCAGAAAAAAAAATACAGTCTAAACTAAACTCACTTCATAAATGGCTCTTAGGAAAAAAAAATTTAAAACATGACCTTTCCGTGTTTGTGATTGTAGACACTTTATTTCAGAACTAGTAACCTGCAAAATTACGATGGATTTCAGTTTCAGTTGTTTATTATTACTTTTTTTTTTTTAAGTGTCAGGGTCTTGCTTTGTCACCCAGGCTGGAGTGCAGTGGCACGATCATGGCTCACTGCAGCTTTGAACTCCTGGGCACAAGCAGTCCTCCTGCCTCAGCCTTCTGAGTAGCTAGGACTACAGGTGCACACCACCATGCCCAGCTAAGGGTTTTTTTTCCTCTTCCACCAACTCACTTCAAATAATCTGCTAAGTTTTAAAAAACTTTTTTAGAGCTGGGGGTTGTCACTGTGTTGCCCAGGCCAGTCTCAAACTCCTGGCCTCACTAGGCCACTGGCCCACTCTCAAGTAGCTGGGATTACAGATATGAGCCACTGTGTCTAGCTTTGTTTTGAAAAACTTTCAGGAATTGTTGAGAAAGTACAGCAACATAAATCTTAAATTTCTCCTTGGAAGGCTGTGCTGACAATCCAAATAATTTTATACTACAGAACTATTTAGCTATAAAATCTTTAGCTATCAGATTAATTTCTCCCTATGAGCTAAGAAAACTGGAGTGTCCAGAGAAAATACTTAGGATAGTAAATTACATTTAACTCCTCAGCATTGGCAGCTGTTATGGACTGAATGTTTGTCAAATTCATATCTTGAAGCCCTGCCCCCCTACACATGGCTGTATTTGGAGATGGGACCTCTAAGGAAGTAATTAAGGTTAAGTGAGGTCATAAAGGTAGAGTGCTGATCTGATAGGATTAGTGTCCTTATAAGAAGATTCAGTTAGCTTACACTTGCTCCCTCCCTCTCCTTCACACAGAGGACAGGTCTGGTGATGACATAGCAAGAGGATGGCTTTTGCAGTCTTAGCAGACTAAAACAGGATGCCATAACAAAATACCACAGACTGGTGGCTTAAATAACAGAAGTTTATTTCTCACAGCTCTGGAGCCTGGAAAGTCCAAGATCAAGGTGCCAGCAGATTCAGTGTCTGGTGAGGGCTCTCTTCCTGGCTTACAGACAGCTGCCTTCTTGCTGTGTGCTCACATGGCCTTTCCTCTGTGATTCATCCTTCTGCCTTACCTCCTACAGCCATTGAATTATCAGTCTGCTGATTCTCTTTCCTCAGTATTTCTCAAATTCATCCCATCATCTTCTTCCCTACTAACTACAGCTCTGGTTCCAGCCCTTTCTGTATGACTACAATAGTCTCTCAGATCAATCCATGTTCCACATGTCCTTATCTCATCAGAGTAATTATCCTGACATGTAAATTTTGCTTATTTAAATCTTTCTCTGGTTCCCTCTTGTCTGTGGATAACGTCTAAGCTTTATAATCCGGTTTCTGCCTACCTCTGTAGCTTCATCTACTAGCATTCTGATAGCATGTGTAACACCAAACTACTTTCAGTTTTCCTCCCACTCCCTGAAGAATTTTACTTTGTTCCTTCTGTTACTTTTACCTGGCATGGGAAGGGAGGGTCCTTTATTCCTACCCCTTTTACCTGATGAGCTCTAGCTTATCCATTCTCACGTTTTTCAGAACTTCTACCCCACTTCTCTTCCCCGCCCCAGAGGTCCCTTCTCTGTCCCCTCCAGAATATTCTCAGCATCTCTCATTACATGGTCAAGTTGTTTTTAGTTTAGTTTAGGTGAATGTTTACTTCTTTTATGGAAAGAGCTGGTCATATTCATTTTAGTGCCTAAAACAATGTCTGGCTCATACTGGGTATTCAAATATTTGTAGAGTGACTGAACATCCAGAAAGTTAAGGTAACATTTTCAAGATCAGGTTGATTATAGGGGACAAAATTGGGACTGGAAAACGAGTACCTCTTTTATTGCCTCATACTGCAGACCAGTACTCCTCCTAGTACAGCATGTAAAACTGGCTAAGTACAATACCTATTGTGCAATTACTAAGTCAATTTAAGCTCGTTTGCTAATTATTAAGATGATTAAATTTTGCTTTGTAAATCAAATTTTTACATATTGTATATATGGGAGCCTATGGGGTGCATGAATAGTTTTGCATGAAATTTATATAGTCACAAACAGTTATAACAGTTGAAGTAGATAAGAAAGTCACATGGAATAAACAAAAATAGGCTTTTAGTGACCATATTTTGATAGGTCAGTTAAAATTAAAAAATTAATGTGACATTTTCCAGGCATACTGTTTAAAAGATTATATGGGCTGGGCTCGGTGGCTCACGCCTGTAATCCCAGCACTTTGGGAGGCTGAGGCGGGCAGATGACCCAAGGTCAGGAATTTAAGACCAGACCAGCTAACATGGTGAAACCCCATCTCTACTAAAAATACAAAATTAGCTGGTCATGGTCGCGCACGCCTGTAATCCCAGCTACTTGGGAGGCTGAGGCAGCAGAATCGCTTGAATCGCTTGAATTCAGTTAGCTTGCACTTGCTAACTGAATTAAGGAGGTGGAGGTTGCAGTGAGCCAAGATCGCGCCATTGTACTCCAGCCTGGGTGACAAGAGTGAAACTCCATCTCAAAAAAAAAAAAAGAAAGAAAGAAAAAGGCCGGGCACGGTGGATCACAAGGTCAGGAGATCGAGACCATCCTGGCTAACATGGTGAAACCCCATCTCTACTAAAAATACAAAAACAGGGGCCAGGCGCAGTGGCTCACGCCTGTAATCCTAGCATTTTGGGAGGCTGAGGCGGGCGGATCTCGAGGTCAGGAGATTGAGAGCATCCTGGCTAACATGGTGAAACCCGGTCTCTACTAAAAAATACAAAAAATGAGCCGGGCGTGGTGGCGGGTGCCTGTAGTCCCAGCTACTCGGGAGACTGAGACAGGAGAGAGCCGAGTTCGCGCCACTGTACTCCAGCCTGGGCAACAGGGTGAGACTCCGTCTCAGACAGAAAAAAATATATGTAAAAACAAAATTAGCCGGGCATGGTGGCAGGCGCCTGTGGTCCCAGCTACTCAGGAGGCTGAGGCTGGAGAATGGCATGAACCCGGGAGGTGGAGCTTGCGGTGAGCCAAGATTGCGCCATTGCATTCCAGCCTGGGCGACAGAGTGAGACTCTGTCTCAAAAAAATAAAATAAATAAATAAAAATAAAAATGAAGGAAGGAAGGAAAGAAAGAATGAAAGAAAAGATTGAGGCCGGGCGCGGTGGCTCAAGCCTGTAATCCCAGCACTTTGGGAGGCCGAGGCGGGTGGATCACGAGGTCAGGAGATCGAGACTATCCTGGCTAACATGGTGAAACCCCGTCTCTACTAAAAATACAAAAAACTAGCCGGGCGTGGTGGCGGGCGCCTGTAGTCTCAGCTACTTGGGAGGCTGAGGCGGGAGAATGGCGTGAACCCGGGAGGCGGAGCTTGCAGTGAGCCGAGATCACGCCACTGCACTCCAGCCTGGGAGACACAGCGAGACTCCGTCTCAAAAAAAAAAAAAAGAAAAGATTGAGCTATAGTTTGGAAGATCTAAGGATAGAAATGGCCAAATTTGAAAAATTGCATTGTAGCTTAATAAATGCTTGAATCAAATTTGCTTGCATTTACATATTGTGATTCTTGTGCCTTCAGGTTCTTCTGTTTTCTATAGCATATTGCAGAAATCAGTTGGGGTTTAGAAACTGAGACCCATACATTGATTTGAAAAAGGATAGAGAAATATATTTCAGTCTGGGTACATTCCCATTTTCAGAATTTTATTTTATTATTATTATTATTTTTTTTTTTTTTTTGAGAGAGAAAGTCTCACTCTGTCCCCCAGGCTGGAGTGCAGTGGTGCGATCTCGGCTCACTGCAGCCTCCACCTCCAAGGCTCAAGCTATTCTTCTGCCTCAGCCTCCCGAGTAGCTGGGATTACAGACGTGTGCCACCACGCCTGGGTAATTTTTTTATTTTTAATAGAGACGGGGTTTCGCCATGTTGGCCAGGCTGGTCTCGAACTCCTGGTCTCATCTGATCCTCCCACCTCCGCCTCCCAAAGTGCTGGGATTAAAAGCAAGAGCCACTGCACCCAGCCTCAGAATTTTTTAGAGAAGTAGAAGTTTTAAAAATGAAGCATCAAAAAAGAAAAGGTATCAGAAAGCTGAAATAGCAAGGTTGTGGTTAAGATCATTAGATACATAGGATATGAGTTGAATTTTTCATAGTCCCTTTTATTAAAACAATCATTTAAAAATATATTTTTGACCCTGGTACTCTACAAAGCTTAGTACATTTTTCACTTATATAAATTCCAAATAGGCTAAAAGCCTACTGACAATATTGACAGTAGCAATGATGATGTAGGTGTCACTTGGGTTAAGTCATGGGAAAACTCAAACCATAGTGTCACAGAGGCTACCCTTTAGCTTTCATGCCCAGAACACAATTTAATAGCAAAGAGAATGGATCTGTCTTCTGGGAGGTGTGTATATTGACTAAGATCATAAGTTTTATATTATTATTGAGAGAAACAATTTGTCCTGTTCATTTCCTTATTGTGTTTCAAAGTCATTGAGATTAAGAATTTCTATTTCAGCACTAAGAACTGCGCCTGGCAGCCAATAGGCATTTAGTTGATATTTGTTGAATAATGTTAATAATACTCAAGGTCTGTGTTTTGTTCCTGCAGGTTGATCCAAAAGACTACATGTTCAGTGGACTGAAGGATGAAACAGTAGGTCGCTTACCTGGGACAGTAGCAGGACAACAGTTTCTCATTCAAGACTGTGAGAACTGTAACATCTATATTTTTGATCACTCTGCTACAATTACCATTGATGACTGTACTAACTGCATAATTTTTCTGGGACCCGTGAAAGGCAGCGTGTTTTTCCGGAATTGCAGAGATTGCAAGTGCACATTAGCCTGCCAACAATTTCGTGTGCGAGATTGTAGAAAGCTGGAAGTCTTTTTGTGTTGTGCCACTCAACCCATCATTGAGTCTTCCTCAAATATCAAATTTGGCTGTTTTCAATGGTACTATCCTGAATTAGCTTTCCAGTTCAAAGATGCAGGGCTAAGTATCTTCAACAATACATGGAGTAACATTCATGACTTTACACCTGTGTCAGGAGAACTCAACTGGAGCCTTCTTCCAGAAGATGCTGTGGTTCAGGACTATGTTCCTATACCTACTACTGAAGAGCTCAAAGCTGTTCGTGTTTCCACAGAAGCCAATAGAAGCATTGTTCCAATATCCCGGGGTCAGAGACAGAAGAGCAGCGATGAATCATGCTTAGTGGTTTTATTTGCTGGTGATTATACTATTGCAAATGCCAGGAAGCTAATTGATGAGGTAAGGACAAAGAGAAGAGAAATAGTCATACACCTAGATTTAAAAATGGACCACTATGGAGTACTTCCATTCTTTTCAAATTGGCTATTGGAAATACAGGCAACCCTCAAGTTATAATCCTTTGCCACCACCCCCTCCCCCAATAGATTCGTCTGTAAGTAGATTGCTGGGGCCTCAAAATACTTTCTCAAAGAAACTTTAAAAATATATATATAATTCAATTCAGTAAGCATTAAGCATTTGTTTGTAAGTAGACTGCTTTTTTAAAGTTTGCTTTCCCAAAGAAACTTTAAAAAAAAATTCAATTCAGTAAGCATTAAGCACCTATTATGTGCTAGTTACTGCTATATTTCACTGATGATAGGATGTCTATTTGTTTTCCATGGTTTTGCTTATCTGGAATGCATCTTATAATTGATAGCAACTCAGAAATGATGAACTACAGTATATGCTGGAGATGAAGATACATAGACAAAATTCTCTGCCCTTAAAGAGTTTTCATTATACTAGATGATTTCCAGAGAAGCTCACAAAAGTAGTACTGCTTAGTAAAGCATGACATTTTATAATTATTTAGTGGGGAAATTTCTTTGGAGTTCTAATTGGTTAGGGGGTAAGAAAATGCAATTTGTGTGTGTGTGTGTGTGTGTGTGTGTGTGTGTGTGTGTGTGAGAGAGAGAGAGAGAGAGAGAGAGAGAGAGAGAGAGAGAGAGAGAGAGACGGGGTCTCGCTCTGTCACCAGGCTGGAGTGCAGTGGTGCGATCTCGGCTCACTGCAACCTCTGCCTCCCGAGTTCAAGCAGTTCTCCTGCCTCAGCCTCCCAAGTAGCTGGGACTACAGGTGTGCACCACCACGCCCAGCTAATTTTTTTTGTATTGTTAGTAGAGACAGGGTTTCACCATGTTGGCCAGGATGATCTCGATTTCTTGACCTCGTGATCTGCCTGCCTCAGCCTCCCAAAGTGCTAGGATTACAGGCATGAGCCACCACGCCCAGCCAAAAATACATTTAGGAATACAACTTTTGGACCCTGTTGTGACTGTGACAGCAACCTCCACATTATGTTCCTTATTTTCCTTTATTGCCATAGAAGGGAGCTTGATGCAGAAGAGTGAGATGGAAGCTAGGTTGGCAAAACTCATAGGCTTATGAACAGTGGGTCTTGGTGAGCTCATGAGTAGAGAAGGGTTTTTGGGGTTGCAGCTTCTGCTTGAAAAATAGTTGGAGATACAGAGGTTAGGGGCTCCAGAAGCAGCAGTTCCTTAGTTGATGGGTGCTCCAGTGGGAAGACAGCAGTAGGATGTATTGATTATGCATTAATCAGGTACCTTCAGGAGGAATCTGTTTGAATTTAAAAACCAAACTGACAGAAATGGAGAAGTGAATGGAAAACTCATCAAGTCTCTTTTTTTTTTTTAAGACAGAGTCTCACTTTGTCTCCCAGACTGGAGTATAGTGGTGCCGTATCAGCTCACTGCAACCTCTGCCTCCTGGGTTTAAGCGATTCTCCTGCCTCAGCCTCCCGAGTAGCTGGGATTACAGATGCCCGCCACCATGCCTGCTAATTTTTGTATTTTTAGTAGAGACAGGGTTTTGCCATGTTGGTTAGGCTGGTCTCTAATTCCTGACCTCAAGCAATCTACTCACCTCGGCCTCCCAAAGTGCTGGGATTATAGGTGAGAGCCACCATGCTTGGCTGGAAAACTCATCAAGTCTCTTTTTGAGTGGATTTTTTTTAAAGTTGGAACATATCAAAAGGAATGATTTTAGGAAAATATTAAAAATGAATACCTCTCAATAGCTATACATTCCACAATGTAGAAAACCCATGTAGAAATGTCTGAAATCTACAAAGTATATCTGAGGTATAGTTTTTAAACCAACAGAAGTCAAAGTATAATTTTAAAACTTCTAGATTTTCTTTTTTGCTTATGCCTATGTGATAAAAACATTTTATGAATCTGGTAAGATATAGAAAAATGTGCTTCTGGCTTTTGAGCTATCTGATCACATGTTAATCCAACATCTGAGAGGTAAATGCTTTCATTATGCTGTATGGTGATTTTTTTTAAAAAAACTACATACAATTTTCAAAATATGTAATTATTTAGGTTAAACTCCTTTTTCGTAGGTAATGAGGAGTGGACATAAAGAATATTTAGCATGCTTAAAGAGAAAAGCCATCAAAACAGTGTTTCTTCATGAGTCATCAAATGTTCTTAACCTTTTAACCTTTGGTATCTGGTATGTGAAATGGGAGTGTTGTGTGCCCTTGAAAAGAATATGACCAGGAAGAATGATGTTCTTTAGATATCCCCTGGAATACAATATAAACAATAATCCCACAGCGATAATAATAACTAACACTTACATAGTGTTTACTATATGCCAGGCACTATGGAAAGGAATTTAAATGAATTAACTCAATACTCAAAACAACTCTATGAAATAAGTGCTATTATTCCCCATTTTACAGATATGAAAAATAGACCAAAAGAGGGTAAGTACCTTGCAAAAGATCATTCAGCTGGTAAACAGCAGAGCCATGATTCCAGTCCAGGCAGTCTAGCTGTGTAGGCCACACCTTAACCCTTAAACATGATGCTGTTATGCTGCCTCAGTGGTAAAGGCAAGTTGCTGAATGCCTGGTGGAGCAGGAATGTGACTGAAAGCATGTGGACTCTAGGGCCTTCCAGTCTAGGGACTATTTGGCTATAGTTATCTTATTCTGAAAGTACAGAATTAAGGAATGAAGAGAACAAACAAAAAATAAAATACCAAGTACATGTGAAGAGGGTATCAAAACATGCTGAAAGACAAAAGACTTACATATTATATTGAGAGATTACATTTTTAAAAAATGAAATGAGTTCACAGGGAAATATGTATAGAAGCTAGTGAATCTTGAGATGAAAAAAATAAAACTTGAGTCTTTCTCATGTCATAACACAAGTGTCTTAGGACAGCTTAGACTGAAACTATGATTGCTAACTCTATATTTGTTAAACCCCAGGAGGATCACAGAATTTTGTTTCACATTGTTTTAATGCATTAAATACTTTTTTTTTTTTTTTGCAATAGGAAGTATACAATTTGAGAGAGGGTAGGAAGTCTAAAAAGGCTGGGTAAAGCAGAAAGTACACTCCATAGGAAGCCAAGAGAAGTTACTAGACTTTGGTTTTCTCACGTAAAAATCAGATTCCAGCCAGGCGTGGTGGCTCTCGCCTGTAATCCCAGCACTTTGGGAGGCCGAGGCGGGTGGATCATGAGATCAGGAGTTCAAGACCAGCCTGGCCAAGATGGCGAAACCCCGTCTCTACTAAAAATACAAAAATTATCCAGGCGTGGTGGTGGACACTTGTAATCCCAGCTACTTGGGAGGCTGTGGCAGGGAATTGCTTGAACCCACGAGGCAGAGGTTGCAGTAAGCCAAGATCACACCACTGCACTCCAGCCTGGGCGAGAGAGCAAGACTCTGTCTCAAACACAAACAAACAATAAAAATCACATTCCTCGACTTTTCTTACCTACATCACAGATATGTACAGGATAAAGTAGAATAAAATAGTTTGAATTGTTTGGGAGTATTTCATCATCTGAAATTGAAGTTGGGTAGTTACCACTATTTTTAAGTCTTTAAAAGTAGAAGAATTTTCATGAAAAGGAGTCTCTCCAAATATCTGTGGGGAAATATTAAAGTATAGTTTATTATTTAGGTAACATTATTTTGAAGTAATCATCATAATCATATCAGTTTGTGTTTATAAAATGAGATATGATAAGCACTCTAGAAAATAAGAGAGGTAGAATTGTTTCTGATATTTTTATTTTACAGTCATCTGGCAGTGATGTCCATGTAATTCTCTACAATTTTTAAATGTATGTTTATTTTTTTGGAGGCAGCATTGAATGAGGGTATTTCAAGATTCTGAAATAGGATTTGAGTTTGATAAAATTTGATGGAATGGTATGGAATAATGTAGCCATAGGATGAAATACTATTAGCCATTAAAACTGATTTTATGTAGAAAATGTCACAATCAAGTAAGTGAAAATCTGTAGAATATTATGTAAGTAACTGATTCTTTTAAGTAGGTAAATCTGGAAAGTTATAGATACTTAAATGTTAACAGTCGTTTTATTAAGAGTTTTTTTTTTTTTTTTGTAGTTCTGTGGATTTAACAATGAGCATATATTATTTCTGTAATGGGAGAAAAAGAAAACTGGGAGGGTATGCCTGTATGGCAGTAGCATCTTTTAGTTGTAGCACCCTGGTTGATATTTCTTCATTTCTATTTTTTATTTTTCAAATGTTCTGTGTTGAGAATATATGTTACTTTTAATTATTAAAAACCTAACAAGCTTTGCTAAAAATTAAGTGGTTGGAATAACTACTTTTTTTTTTTTAGAGACAAGGTTTTGCTCTGTTGTCCAGGCTGGAGTGCAGTGGTGAGATCATAGCTCAGTGTAGCCTCTAACTCCTGGGCTTAAGGGATCCTCCCACCTCAGCCTCCTGAGTAGCTAGGACTACCGGCACACACCACCACACCTGGCTAATTTTTAAAAATTTTTTATAAAGATGGGGTCTTGCTGTGTTTCCCAGGCTGGTCTCAAACTCCTAGTCTCAAGCAATCCTCCCAACTTGGCCTCTCAGAGTGCTCGGAATGCAGGTGTGAGCCATGATGCTGGGCTGACTTTGCATTTTTAAAAACTACTTTCATAATTACTTTAAAAATTAATATGTCCTCATTGTGGAGAATTATAGAAATAAGAAAGAGTAAAATAAGTTTAAAATCAATACATAATTGTGCCATACCTTGAATAATCTTTTTAGGAATAATTTTTAAAGTTATTTAGTCTGTAATCGGATTAACTATGTTTGAATCACAGCTCTGTCACTTAATTGTTAAATGTCCTTGGGCAAGTTCCTTAATCACTGTGCGCCTTAGTTTTCACATCTGTACAATAAGGGTAATGATACCTACTTCATGAGAGGGTTAAATATATATATGTAAAGTACATAAAACTGCCTGCCACATAGTAAGTGCTCCATAAGTGTGATCTACCATTATTGTGCTATACTATATAAATTTGTATCATGCCTTTTAAAATTAACATTATTGGCCAGGTGCAGTGGCTCATGCTTATAATTCCAGCATCTTGGGTGGCTGAGGCAGGAGGATGGCTTGAGCCCAGGAGTTCAGGATCAGCCTGGCAACATGGCCAGAACCTGTCTCTACAAAAATTTTTAAAAATTAGCCGGGCATGGTGGCACAGGCCTGTAGTCCTAGCTGCTTGGGAGGCCGAGGTGGGAGAATCGTTTGAGCCCAGGAGTTTGAGGCTGCAGTGAGCTATGATTGCACCACTACATTCCAGCCTGGGCAACAGAGTGACACCCTGTCTCAAAAAAAAAAAAAGAAAAGAAAAATAAATAAAAGTAAAATTAACATTATTACATAAGCTTTTCCTCATTTTATTATAACATCTTTGTTGTATTTAATGAACTATGATAAATGTAATGAACTATGGCATTTCGTCATATGACTGTACCATAGTTTACTTAACCATTCTCTTCTTATTGGACATTCGCAGTATCACCAAACTAAAACTTCCATGTGGTCGTAGAAAAATTTTAATCATGTTTTAAACTTGAGAGATAATTCACATTTATTTGACCCTTACTCTTAACTGCAGTACTAAACCAGAACCACCCATCTGTAAGAAAGAATCTCATATATATAGTGAGAACTTATTATAGCAAACACCCTGAATTAGACTTATAATTAAAACAAAAATCAGTGTGCTGTTGTTGCATTTTATACAGAGAAATACTAGAATAGGAAATCATTGTTTTAGTCTCAGAAGTTCATTTTAAAATCTCAATTAAATTTTATTTTCACAGATGGTTGGTAAAGGCTTTTTCCTAGTTCAGACAAAGGAAGTGTCCATGAAAGCTGAGGATGCTCAAAGGGTTTTTCGGGAAAAAGCACCTGACTTCCTTCCTCTTGTGAACAAAGGTACCTTCTGGATGATTGGTATACTTTTGTGGATATTTTCTTTACATACCAATTTGATTTACTTTTGCCTTTAACATTTCTTTTACATTGCCTTCTCTTTCTCATTTGTTCTTTTTTTTCTGTTATTGTTCAGAAATGTCAAAATTTCACATCACTCAAGGAGCCCTAGATAACTAACTAGAAATTAGTTAACTAATTTTTTTCCCTTTTTTTCCCTATCCTTTTTTTTCCCCTATCCTCTGTTCTTAGTACTGAAAGTCACATTTTATTATGTATCTTATTATTTTAATTATTGTATTATCGTTGTACCTTTATAGTGTGAGTAAATATTTCATACTCCCTGCTCAGAGTTGCAAAGCACTTGATAAAGATTCTTTCTATCTTCAGTGTGCTTTAATCATACCAGAAAAGAAATAAGAAATATAAAGTGGTATACTATTTTATGTATTTAATATGATTGATTAACTTCCTGTGTATAATTAGAATTGTTTTCCCTAATGGGTAAATGCCACCAATAAATTTCAGATACTGGATATAGGTCTTCAAAGAGAGGAACTTGAGTATGTGTGCCCACCTGAAGGGTTACTGTCTGCCTACCTGTATTTGAAGGTGTATTGATTCTAGAGGACAGAGTACTCTTTACCTGTTCAGAGTGGGTACATTGTTTGCTCAAGGCTCATCAGGCTTTCCTTGACTGGCCTGAGCAAATATGTATAGTAATATGCAGTGTTGATTGGGTATACCCTAGAGAGAGGGCCCATCTGCATTTTATGTGCTCTTTATGTATAAAAACATTATAATAAACTGCAAAAATCTGTATGCAAATGTTAGAGGATTGTTAGGATAATAAGTAATGCTGGGTGTAACTCAGCTGGTAAGTATTAATGCAGTATTTGATAATACTTTTGTGGTTACTGTAGTGGTAGCAAGGACTTGCTGTGACCCCTGCATGACTCTACCCCAGAATATATGTAGGAAATTCTGACCTGGCCCCTTTAATGCAACCATTTTGATGTGGGAACATTTGGAAGCTTGAAAGTGAACCTTTAACCTCTTAGCAGCTTTTGGAAATTGAATCAGGTAATAAGTGTATTGGACATACTAAAGTGTGAGAGTTAGGAATAAAGTGAGCCTATCGGTAGGGCTAAATTAATGATTTATGTACTTGTGTGATGTTAGTGAAGTAGTATTACAGAATTGTTCCAACCCAAATATAGTATCTGCATTTAAGTAACAGAAAATTCCACATGGAAGAAGTAAAATGTTCTTTTGCTGCAAAAAGTAGAACTAAAAACAGTAAGCAGATGTTGCAGGAATTTCAGCAAATAAATATCATACAAACAAGTCTTAAAAACCAGAGATGCCTATAGGAGGTATTCAAAGACTGATGAGTTCATATCAAAAGATCTTAGGAGCCAGCTTGAAGGAGTTTCCATGGGCCAAATTCGGGACAATTTAACAATTAAAAAGAATACTGGGACTAGATGTAGTGCTTAACCCCTGTAATCCCAGCATTTTGAGAGGGTGAGGTGGAAGGATTGCTTAAAGCCAGGAGTTTGAAACCCACCTGGGCAACGTAGCAAGACCCTGTCTCTACAAAAAATACAAAAATTAGCTAGGGATGATGCACACCTGTAGTCCCAGCTACTCAGGAGCTGAGGTGGGAGGTCGCTGGAGCCCAGGAGCTTGAGGCTGCAGTGAGTTATGCTCACGCCACTGCACTGCAGCCTGGGCAACAGAGCAAGACCTTGTCCCCAAAAAAGAGAAGAAGAATGAAGGTAATGATTTAGCAACATAAATCTATGCATCCATATTGTTAAACAAAAAGGGGAGGGAAGAAAAGAATGTTCATCTGCTGTTTACAGAATATTGTGAGCTAAAAGATGCAGAAGGAATGATGGACTTTGGAAATCACCATTTCCAACCCCAATGTAATAATTATTTCAGACAAAGATTATCAGTGGGTGCTAAAACTATTGGGGTAAAAGTTGCTAAGAAGTAGGATATTTGGCTGGGTGTGGTGGCTTATGCCTGTAATCCCAACACTTTGGGAGGCCAAGGCGGGTGGATCACGAGGTCAGGAGTTTGAGACCAGCCTGGTCAACATGGTGAAACCCCGTCTCTACTAAAAATATGAAAATTAGCCCGGTGTGATGGCAGGTGCCTGTAATCCCAGCTACTCGGGAGGCTGAGGCAGATAATTGCTTGAACCTGGGAGGCAGAGGTTGCAATGAGCCAAGATTGCGCCACTGCACTCCAGCCTGTGTGAAAGAGCAAGACTCTGTCTCAAAAAAAGAGGATATTTATACATCCTAATTCAAAGGGGGAAACCTTTACAGCAGAGATTTGGTGATCACCATGTTAACCCGGTGATCAAACAGCATCTTTGATGGACAGCCTGACGTGTGTTATTTGTGATGTGATGCAGTGAAAAAAATACACAACATCACATGTAGAGTGTTCTTGCCAAAGTAGCCTGAATCTAATTGAGCCAAGACTTCTAGTTTGTAGGAAGAAAATAAATATGTTAAATGACACCATAAGGAAATAAGACAAATCCAAAATAGAAGACCTTCTACAAGACAACTGGCTAGGTCTCTTCAGACAGTATAATGGAAAACAAAAAAGATGGGGGAATTATTCTGGATTAAGAAACTAAAGAGACATAACTAAATGCAATGAGTGAACCTTGATTGGATCTTAGATTGGGTTGGAGTGAGCTGTAAAAGGCATATTTGGGACAAGTGGGGAAGTTTGAAGATGAGATAGAATTATCGTTAATATCCTTTGCTATGATAATGGTGGTGTGGTTATGCAGGAGATACATGCTGAAGTGTTCTTATGTCTGCTACTTTCAAATGACTCAGCAAAACAAAGCATATATGTGCAGATAGATGGTGTTTATTTTGTAATAAAGCAAATGGGGACAAATGTTAACTTTTGGTGGGTGTAGGTGAAGGGCAAATGCATATTTATGCTATTCTTTCAACTCTTCTATAATGTATAGAAATTTTCAAAATAAAAAGTTGGGGAAAACTTTTAAGCTGCTCAGCAATGCATTGATTCCTGTGGAATAGTGAGTAGGCTGGCAGTGGTGATATTCTAGCAGGAGTTGGATGGACTGGGCCCTTATCTAAAAGCGGCCATCAGTCATCCTAAGGCAGGGTTTCTCAACTGTGGCAGTACAGACATTTTAGGCCAGGTAATTCTTTGTTATGAGAGGCTGTCCTATACCTTACAAGATGTTTGGCAGCATCTCTGGCCTGTACCCATTAGATGCCAATAAAACACCACCCCAGTTGTGGTAACCAAAAATGTTTCCAGATGTTGCCAGATGTCCCCAGGGGTGTGGGAAGGAGGCAAAATTGCTCCCAGTTGAGAACCACTGTACTGAACTAAGGGTGGTCTTATTTATTATATATTTTTTTGAGAATTCCCATGTATCTTAAATAATTTGCACCTCAGAGTCTCTCAATTTTCCTCTTTAGTTGCAATAGTCACATTTATTTTTAATATTTAATAAAGCTATTTGACTGCTTAATAAGAGAATTCATTGTTTTCCATCATGAGGATCTCCAAATCTGGATAATTCTCAGAATCATCCAGGGTGCTTTTAAAAATGTACATTTTCAGCCAGGCACGGTGGCTCAGACCTGTAATTCCAGCACTTTGGGAGGCTGAGGCAGGCAGATCGCTTGAGCCTAGGAGTTCAAGACCAGCCTGGGCAACATGGCAAAACCCTGTCTCTACAAAAATTAGCTGCGTGTGATGGTGTGCACCTGTAGTCCTAGCTACTTGGAGGCTGAGGTGGGAGGATCACCTGAGCCCAGGGAGGTTAAGGCTGCAGTGACCCATGATCGCTCCACTGCACTCCAGCTTGGGCAGCAGAGTGAGACCTTGTCTCAAATACATAATACATAAACAAATTTCCCCTCCCCACCCCTCCCCTCCCCTCCCCTCCCCTCTCCTCTCTTTTTTTTGACAGGGTCTCACTCTGTTGCCCAGGCTAGAGTGCAGTGATGCAGTCTTGGCTCACTGCAACCTCTGTCTCCGGGGCTCAAACAATCCTCCTGCCTCCGACTCCTGGGCTCAAGCAATCCATTCACCTCAGCCTCCCAGGTAGCTGGAACTACAGTCGTGCGCCACCATACCCAGTTAATTTTTGCATTTTTTGTAGAGACAGCATTTTGCCATGTTGCCCAGGCTAGTCTCGAACTCCTGGGCTCATGCAATTCATCCACCTCAGCCTCCCAAAGTGCTGAGATTATAGGCATAAGCCACCGAGACCAGCCAATAAACAAATTTTCTACTCCCTCCCCAGAAAGCCTAATTCAGAAATCTTTGAGATGTACCCTTGGAATATTCCTTTTTTGATAGTTCTCCAGATTAGTCAGACTTGGGTTATTTTGTTTTAGGGAATAATTCATTCAGTTATTCAACAAACATAGTAGATGAGGTCCGAGAAGTAGTAGAGAGAGAGTCAGATAATGTAGGGCCTTGTAGGCCACTGTAGAGACTTTGGCTTCTATAGTAGTCTGAGTGAGATGAGATGCTACTGGACATTTGTGGGCTTTTTTGAAATAAACTTTTTATATTGGAATGATTTTAGGTTTACAGAAAAATTGCAAAGATAGTACAGAAAGTTTCTGTATATCCCTTACCCAGCTTCCCTAAATGTTAACATAACCATAGTACATTTGTCAAAGCTAAGAAATTTACATTGGTAAAATGCTAACTTAAACTACAGACTTTATTCAAATTTTACCAGTTTTTCAACTTACGTCCTTTTTCAGTTCCAGAATTCAGTCCAAGATCCCACATTGCTTTTTGTTGCCATGTCTCCTTAATTTCCTGTGACAGATGTGACATTTCTTCAGTTTTTCCTTGTTTCTCATAATCTTGAAACTTTTGAATAGTAGCGGTCAATTATTTTGTAGAATGTTCCTCAATTTATGTTTATCTGACATTTTCCTCTGGTTAGACTAGGGTTATAGGTTTTT